TGTCCGTGATGGTCTGCCACTTGTTCATGGCCACGAACCAGCTGTCATCTCCGCGACGCCGGCAGCTGAGGTCGATGACCAGCTTGTCCCTATCGCCGCCCAGTTGCTCGAGTACCGCGCCTAACCTCGCCTGACTGAATTGACCCTCAGGGAAGAGGTATGAAGTGATGATGACCTAGACGATACTCAGCGCGGGTCCCCGCTCGAGAAAATCGCGCCAGCTAACCTTGGATGCTCCGGCGTCCATCCACTGACCCGCGTTCTTGTCGTTGATGCCGCCGCCGACCTGGAGATAACCCGGCCACTCCTCAAGCGCTTGTCTAGCCGATTCCTCATTGCCCGGGCCTAGCATGATGACATGGGCACCCTCGAGATCATTGTCCTTGTATAATTGGGCGTAGTACGCCGCCGGATGCTGAGAGACGTAGTTGGTCTGAAGCGCGGCTGACGTGCTGTCAAGGGTGCCGCCCACGATCTGCTTGACCTGGCCGGCGTGCAAGTCTATACATGGCCGGAATTTCGTCATCTTGACATGCGCGATTCGATTGCCGCGGTGCTGGTGAGTGAGGTTTGGAGTTTGGAGGTTGAGGCGGATTGGCCATGGACGGCGCCTCGGGTGAGACTCAGAATGAGATTGATGGTGGGGCGCGACTGCCGAAAAGTGACGCAGCAGCAGCACAGCAGATGACTGGTTGGCCGGCTTCAACTCGCCAGCCAACCCCCATCAACCGCTTTCTATTCTTCTACCTGCCTGCAAACCTCCTCTGAATTTTTTAAATTCCGCGCATTCCACTACTCTACAGATCGCTCTAAGCTAATGCTACTCAACTACCTTAAAACCTGCCTCATTTGTTCCATACATAGTCTGGGATTACCATTGCTGGCTCCCACAAAAGCCGCTCCAATACCCCCATCCGTGGCTCCCTATCCTCGCAACACAATTGTGTGCTTGCCAGCCATTTCAGCACGCTTGAACAAACTCATCCGGCGCTGTTCTGAGAAGATGTCCTTATACCCGGCCTCGTTGCGAGCAAGGGCCATGGGGCCGTGTTGCTTCGTGTCGCCGAGAAAAATGACTGGCGCATTGGTGAATTTGCTGAGCGGAACGAATGACAGGTTCTCGGTAAGTCTTTCCGCTTCGTCAACGATGGACAGATGCACTTGGAAGTGTTTCGTCTCGGGGTCGATGTGATTCGCGAGCTGCACGATCGCGACGGGAGTACCGCAGAGGACATGCGAACGGGTGGCTGCTTCAAACAAGAGCTCACGACAGGTCTCCTTGTTTGCCACTATGTTCGTCTCGAAACTTCCGTCGTCACTTTTCCGCTGTTCACACATCGCGTGGTATCCCGACCATTTCTTGCGGTTCGTGTTGGCAATGGCTTTGGCGCGGTTTGACAAAGAGAGCGGGTCGTGATGTGCAGAGGACTTCCTGTAGGCCATGTTCAAGGCTTTGTTCTGAAACGCAGGGAGCTTGGCGCATCGCTCATTTGCCTTATTCTTGTCAATGGCGATGGGCGTTGGCTCTTTCTCTTCTCCAAGTAGAGCCCGCATCTCAGCATCCCACGGATGGACTCTTGTGATGACGCGGTTAGGCTGTCGGTCTCTGAGGTGATGAGCGGCGTCGGCAACAGTCCTATTCTGGGCTGCAATCCACACGACGTGTTTATCTCCGTCTTCGATTGCAGCAAGGCAGATGTTGACAGCCAGAGTCGTCTTTCCAGAACCGGGTCTGCCAGAAACAAAAAGACAGAAGGGACCCCGAACAAGGCCTTTCACGGCTTCTCGTTGCTCACCAGGAAAGCGTCCTTCATCGAGATGAGTGCGGAGTCGAGGGAAATGAGAGAACCAGTTGATCACGGGCAACTCTTCCTGAAAGTCCATGGTAGCCCTCCAGATAGCATGCGCCCTGGTCCTTGTGCTGAGTTTGTTCATTGCCGTGATGACATCCGCCTCAACTTTGGCAGTCGTTGCGTCAACCTTGTATGTCATTCTGACTGTGACTTTCTGGGAAGGGATGCTGGATATGCGTCCACGCGCATCGCTGTACGACCAGAGGTCATGCAGGAATATCGCCAAATTTCCGGTCAGTCCAACAGAAGGCAGCGTGACGCTGCATGGTGGCTTCTTGAGAGCTGATGGCCAATCTGACTGCTTGGGAGTCATGACCGAAAAAAGAGCGACTGGTGCTCGTGTACCCGAAGGAAGTGGGAGTCGTCGTGCGTGCTAGGCCTCGCCACACTCGTTCTCTTCCTTGACTGTGTTGGTCGCTGTCGTTTGAACGAACTGCTGCAGCCGATTATAGAACGCAATGTTGTCTTCACCTGGCTGGCGTTTATTGGCCGCAGCAAGCACCAAGGCACTCTTGGCACGTTGTACATCGGTGGGTTGATCCGGGAACTGAATAACAGCTTCCGGAAGGGGGCGACGCAATATGCGAAAAAAAGCACAGCCTGCGAGGTACTCGTAGTGATGATCTTGAAGAGCAGAGGCTTCCTGTTCTTTCAGGTTTGCAGCTTTTTCATCACCGTTCTGACGAGCAGCCTCTGCGTCTCTTCTGAGCGGTTGCGACTCGGCTTCGGCTTCATCGAAAGCATGGTCAAGCTGGGCTGCTAACCATTGAGTAACCTTCGGCACCTCGTTTCCGGTGAGTGAGGCTAGTGGAGCTGCTCGAGGTTGGACAGGGACATTTGGGAGGTAGAAGGTGCATTTGTCTCCGACATTGCAGATGTATTGCGAGCCGTCGTTGTTGGCCATGTCCAGTACAAACCACTGGTGGCAGACCTGGCCATCGGCTGGAACACCGAAAGTGTTCATGTCGGAGTCGGTAGGCTGCCACTTGGAGAAAGGGTCACTGATGACCGTCACCTGGAAGTCGAAGTTTGCGGCCTTGCCCATCCGCTCAAGCAGCATCTCTTGCTCTTCCACTGCATGTCCGACCAGAAGAACGCTGCGTTGAACGTCCGAGAGGAAGGCATGCTGAGATAGAATGGGGTGCTTGGGACGATCATCCGCAGGAGGCATGACGAAATTGTTGAATCCGAGATCTAGGTGGCTCTGTCGGTCGCGCATTTTGGTGAGAATCTCTGCGTACGGCGCCATGTATGAGGAAATGTCTTGGAGCTTGTGCAGCCACGACATCTCAAAGGACGTGCCCGACCAGAAGTAAATTCCGATGGACTTGACTTTCTCGCGATTAAGACAGTCGCGAATGCGGGACGCAGCCTTGCCCAAGGCCGTGAACTTTTGCTTTTGATCAAACGATGCGAGATCCCACACCAAACCCTGCGAGTTCTGGCAGCGCATGCTGATGCAGCGGACGGTACTGGACAGTTTGCAGAATTCTGCGGCAGGTTGCGTTGCGGAATCGCCATCCAAGCCGTCACATATCTTGTCTGAAGTTCGGAGACCCTCTGCAAGAGAATCATCCGTGGCGCGAATGGCAGACTCGAGGTTGCCCAGATCCATGTCAGTCCAAGTGAGAAGTTCCGTGATGAAGTTCGCATCCTCCGTGTTTAGATGCTCCACTTCCAGGTCGCCAGCCTGACCAGAGAGGGGAATGGTCCAGATTCGAAAAATTTCGATCTGGTTGGCGTGGCGGATCTTGAAGTGAATGGTGGCAGATGGGACCGTGAACCTGCCAAGGTTCAAGCAACACTCAGACCGCAGACCAGCAAAGCTACCGCATCCCATTCGCTTGACCGTGTTCGAGTCATACCCAGGGACAAGCTTGCCATTGACAACGACAGTACACGCGAACCGGTTGGTGCTGGTGCGGTGTTCCATCTTGAACTCTGGTTTTTGCGTCCTTGCGGGATCTTGACAAGCTGCCCCAGGGAGGGGGGAAGAAAGGGCTGTGGGTGTGTTGCAGTTGACGTGCGGAAGTGTGTGGATTTGAGCGTGTGAGTGCGAGTTGAAAGCGTGGTGGTGAAGGAGGGAAAGAGGCGACGTGCGAGCCTCGACGGTGAGCCGAGAATTTGTGCCTGTGCAGAGCCTTTCCGTCAGTAATTGTGCGCAATCAACAAACAATAGCAACCGACCAGCTGGCAAGCGGGCAAGCCCTACACCCGGCAGGTGCTGAACAGCTGTGGCCGCAAAATGCCGGGCTGCCAGGTGAACAATGAACAAGCCCTAGCGGCGTCCCCATGGCTGGGCCGCGGGCAGCCTTCAAGTCCGGATGCTCAATGCCGCCTCCCACACACTCTCATCCAATGTCATCGTCGCCAAGACTCTTGACCAATCAACGCTCCATCAGAGCTGATGACCTCCAGGATGACCAGTGAAAATACGCCCCAGCAACGCAGGACAATAGCTGTTGCCATACTGGACATTCACGCGGACAGGCGGGCCCTTCGAGTTGAGGTTCGGTGGGAACGACGGGAACGATAGGCAGTACGGGAACGACAGGCAGTATGGGAATGATAGACACGACGGGAACGATGGACACGGCTGGAACGACAGGCACTCTGGAAATGGGAAGTATGATGGGCACGATAAGTACGATAGGAACGAGAGAATTGACGGGAACGGGAGGCATTAAGGACGGGCTCAGCGCGCGTCTAGTGTAGCATAGTACGATGATCGTTATGATATCGCCTTGAGGGAAATGCAGATTATGGCTTAAAGGGCGGTAAACACTTGTTGCTGCATGATGCTGCGATCATACGTCGAGGCTCTCATTCAAGGGCCCTCGGCGTTCTGCAGTTGCTAAGGGTTCTAGTGGTGCGTTCCCTGCGGTTGACCGCGGTCCCCGTACGGCCTGTACTATGATACTAGCCGCTCTGGGCGTACTTGGGTGCCAGTGTCCCTCCCCTATATGTATAAGACAATACATCGGCCATTGCAGCAAGACACAACTGATAACTAGCAGGCTTGTCGCCTCGGACCTCAGCTACGCCCTTCAAGCGATAGGACCCTAAAAAGTAACTATGTCCGGAATCAAAACTAGTGACTGCCATATAATAGGCAAAAAAACGAGAAGAGCAAAAAAAAGAAACGTATAGTCGAGCCGGGAGTCGAACCCGGATCTTGGCCGTAAGGCCGTTGGCTGTGAAGGCCGTGTACTAACCGTTATACTACTCGACCTTTGAAGGATTTGAATGGCTGGATCCATCCGAGTACGATAGTGGACCTCTTATTACTATTTATAAGGCCTTGAAAAAAAGTACGCACACTTGAGTGATGATTGGCTCGCTTTATTATAGGGGCCTTTACGGGAGTACTGGGACGAGCGAGCCTCGTGTGTCGAGGCCCCGTACGGACGCTGCGGCCAATCTTAGAACAGGCCTTTGAACCATGTCTTACCACCCACCACGACCTCGGATCGATTCTCGTGAGCACCACTGTTTCTGTTCTCATTTGAATTCTACGTCTCTCCGTTTTTCCATATTTTCCAGTATACTCGAGACTTGATCACAGACGGACAATCACGTGAAATGCTCCCACTCCTACTGTAGCAAGGCATAAGCTCTTGGTAAGATTTTGTTTAATATCAATCGCGTCGAATTTCTTGTTCCAATCTAGTGGTTCCAATTTCATAGGCTACATGCTCTCATTCAGCTCAAGTGTCTGCAAGTACTGCTGCGCGCTCTCAAGGTCAAATGTCATATCCTGCTCATGCACTTTTGCCAATCGATCAATCATACAGGCTCGTGTCTATCACTCTGCAATCTACCGCACACCTCCGTCCTTCAACCCGACGCCGACTGGACGGCGCTGACGGCAATAGCAACGTGGCTGGACTTCGACGGCGCAGACTCGCAGCTGAGCTTCAGCCAGAGGGTATCCTGCTGCTCCGTCAATGGCACAGGCGACTCGGCGCGCATCTCCCCGAGCGCCTTGAAGCCGCCGCGTATGCTATCTGCTTCGTACCCCTTGGCGCGCAGCACGCTCGTCGCCACGCGGGCGCTGTCGCCGTCGTAGCAGAGCACCAGGATACGCTTCCCGTGCATGGCATCCTGCAGGTCCTGCGGCGGCGATTTGAAGGTATCGTCGAGGCGCTGCCACAGGTCTCTGAGTATGCTCGGTTCGGAAAAGGGGCCGGCGCCACCCGGCTGCACGAACGGGACGTTGACGGATCCGGGTAGGCGGAACTGTGCAAAGTCGGCGGCCTGTCGGATGTCGAGGACGGCGGTGTCCGTCTTGCGTTGGATAAGCCCTTCGAGCTCGGGACTGCTGTCTCTTGTGGCGAGTTTGGGGACGAGGCGGATGACATCGCCAATCATGGACTGGTCGACTCCGAAGAAGTCGTTGAGGGCGTCGGTGGCGTCGCGCTCCCACTTCTCGTCGTATCTATATGAGTCGACTCCCAAGAGTTCCTGGATCGTCGTCAACTTCTGAACGATTGCGAAAGCGTCATGATGCTCACCTGGTTTGTAATGGGCGCAAAGTAGTCGTCCCCTAGCTTGTCAAAGTACTCGTTGACGTACTGGTACGGCAAGTCACAGCACAAGAACGCGCAGTGAACCTCACCATCTGGACCTGCCAGCTCAGCGAGGGTGCCCTCTACTTTGCGTTTCTCTATGAGTTGGTAGAGACCCTGCAGGTTGAAGCCAGACGAGGGCCCGCAGAGAAGGCCGTTGCGGATAAGGTCGAGAGACAAGGAGTAGGACTCGTGGGAACCCACTTCCTCTATGTGATCAACGGCCGCGCGCCAAGGGAACTCGACCGGCGCAAGGAGAGCGTATGAGCGGGGTCCGGGGACACGGTCTCCTGGGGCAGTGCACACTCTGCAGAAGTTAGCTTCCTGGAATCGCTGACCTCAAAACCCACGTACCCGAGACGGAAGACTGAGGGTTTCGCCTCTTTGAAGAACGAGCCCAGTCCAGTCATGGTGCCTGTCTGATCAGTAGAAGCCCTTCCAAAGCAGCAGGCCGAGCTCACCGGATGTGCCCATGCCGGCGCAAATGACATTGATCTCGGGGAGCTGCCTCAAGATCTGCGGTCCAGTCCACTTGACGTGTGCTTTCCAGTTCTGCCCTTGTCAGCGAGGAGTAGTTTTGCGAAGTCTTGGAGCTCACATTGTCATTTTCATATTGGTTGGGGTTGATGGCAGCCTCCGACTCCAGAGCCATGCGCTGTGCAGCCCTGATGCCGCCACGCTCATCTAGTGGCTCCGGCTGCGAGGGGCCGCCAAACAGGGTGCTACATTTATTAGATGCGTCCAGTTACGGAGATGTTCCGAGACGTACATGTTGATGCCAAAGAGTTGCATAAGCCTGATCTTGGCTAGACTTGTCTTATTGCTCAGAAACGCACGCACGTCAGGTAGGCCATAGAGGGCGCGTGCGATCAGTGACATGGAGAGCACGGTCGAGCCGGAACTATATTCGACCACCGTCTCTGTCTTTCCGGGTACGATACTGTTGTTGAGCAAGTTCAGCGCTAGTCTTGTCAGCTTCACTGTTCAAAAGATCTGCCCGCAGTTGTATTCCCTACCTGGCATGGACTTGACATTATTCGCCGGGTGCATCGACATCATTTTGGCGTATATGCGAACGCCATCTTGCCGATACGGATTGAGACAATCCGGTACCTCAACCAGCGGCAACGGGGGTGAAGATTCCGGGTCGAAGTAATTGCGGAGCGAGTCCGGCCCCTTGTAGACATTGAGCGTGTTTTCCTTTGCCATGATGCTTGGAGGCGACACAACGATGCGTCACTGCTATCTTCAGCTATCTGTGTGCGAGGCAAGATAAGAGCCGCGGAGACAGCGCCGTTGTTTTCTGGTCTCGGCACGCACACTACTTATGTGCAGGCCTGCGGGAAATCTACCAAGTGGCAAGGACACGGAATCGTGCCATGCCAGAGAGTCGGCGTCTGCAACGCAGGAGTGGGCTCGTGACAAGGGTTGGCGGGATATGCTGCGCGGGATCGCTCCCGTTTCAGCCCGGCGGCAGTGATCCTCCACGGTGGGCGGCAGGCGGCCTTCCAGATCTTCGACCGGTCACGAGAATAGAAGGCCGACGGGTCAGCAAACTTGGCGCGGGTTCAGCTAGTGCCCGCTCGTCAAGAGCCGTTTGTGCGGTCGCGCCGTTTGTGCTGGTGTGAGGTTTTTGCGCGGCATGCAGCCAGCATCGTTTGCGGGATTGTCATGTAGATGGTGACATGCTGGGAGGTGTCGTCGTGCTAGTCAATCATCCCAGAGCTAGGCTCACACGTCGCCACTAGTACCGCTCCGCAAGCGGTCCGATCACATTCTGGCGCGTACTGGGCGGCCGCAGCCGGCGGGATCCCCCTAACGTAGGCGTCATGACGGTCTGGTACCGCGTAAAGACCATCAAGGTTTCTCTCTGAGACCCCATGCCGTGACATGACGTTCTGGACAAAAGGGTGTGTGGTTCGTATGTCTTAATGTAAGTGCGTTAGCGCCGCGGTATGAATAAACCCTGAACGGGTCTATGATGGCGTAATGGTTTCGGGCGGCATGGCCCCTGGCAATGGAGACGCGGAGAAGTGGCCAGACCATGACTTGGGCGATGGAGCAGGCTGCAGAGTCAGTACTCGTACGAAGTTGGCGACTCGAGATCGCATCTCGAGGCCGCAGATGGGCTCGCTAGTCTCCGTTCTTGCCGTCCCACGATGCTTCTCCTCTGTTGAGCTTTCACGAGCGCCTCTCGACTCCGGAGTCAGGATTCAGGACACAGAGGGACATGCCAGGAGTCAGGACTCCAGGACCCGATCAAAAGCCCCATCAACGAGCATGGGATAGACGAGCTAACAGAAGGGCGCCAAGGTAGTGTATTTATTTGGTGTGATAACTGACGCGCACCTTGATAGGTTGCTTGCGAGGTGCCGGGGCCGGCGTCGGGGTGGAGACGGCCGAGAGGCGGGAGAGGCGGCGATCCGTACCTGGAGATCGGCAATGGAGGCGCTCGTGGGGGCCAAAGTGCCGAGCTCAAACGTTCTCAAACGCCCGCACACTGAACGCAAACGACCTTGGCGCGCAACAAAGGCCACGTCCCGCACAATCGCCTCAGATGCGACGCTGCGTGCGTGCGTACGAACATACGAGCGTGCGTGCGTTCCATCGCATCCGCAGACGAGACGAACTGCGCATTGCGACCAAACGTTGCATTGCCACGAGCCCTCGTGGACGCTGGGAAGGAGTTAAAGCGGATGGTCGACACTAGTACCGTCGAGGCGTATGTATGTATCAAGGTGTCCTGCTCCACCAGCTTGCCGACTCCTGGCACTTTCGCGTCCGAGGGCCGCCTCGTGACGGGTCCCTCCCTGGTACTTGTTTAAGCATAACCTTGCCTGATCCGAGGTCAGCCGGGTTCACATCCTCGCGTCCAGGGATCGGCACGCTGCTGGCGGCATTTTGGCGTGATTGATCCAGCTAGGCCAGCTGGAAGACCCAAGGGCGACGCAAGGCCGATTTCCACTTCTTCGTTCAAAGGGTCCGTCCTTCAGAACCCGTACAGGTTCACCTTGCTTGGCCCAATATTTGCCATCCATTGAGGGTCGCTGGCCAGCCACCGGGAAGCAGGACCTTCTCCTCCGGCCACCGCAACTCCGAGCTAGAGTTGTCCTTTTTGTCGGCCACATCTGAACGATTGCATTGCTCCTCCTGGTCTTCACCCGACGCAAGAAGCGAGCATTGACAATGGAAAAGGATGCCAAAGGCCCTGAGGGGCCGCTCGTGAGCAATGTGCTTCATGTCCACGATGCGGTTGACAGTGCCGCTGCACCGGCCGACTCAGGCGACAGCAATTCGGAGAGCAGCGGCAAGGCACACGAGTTCAACGAGCAGACAAACTATGTGCCCAAGAGAACCATCATCACAGTAAGGAGGCAACAAAAATTTCGGGGACAACACTGACCTGGTCCTCAGATCTTCCTCGCCTGCGCCAGTGTCGACCTGCTGGCGCTCATGGACCAGACCACTCTCGCAGCAAGTTTGTACATCGTCGGCAACGCATTGGGGTCCACGGACCAAGTGTCGTGGATTGCCAGTGGTTATTTCATGTAGGAATCAGGCTGCGCTCCCGCTGGACGTTTCTGACAAGAGGTAGCACCTCCACCGTTGGCCAGCTGCTATACGGGCGGTTGTCCGACATTTGGTCACGGAAAGTCGTTCTCCT